AGCAGCCCTCCACCTGAAATAATTGCCTGCCCCTGCTATAGGAACAGCAGGTACTGGAAGAAGCTTTAAAGTTAGGGAGACAAGAGTACCTAAAAACAAGTCCAAAATGGGAAGCTGTTTTCATTTTACTGTGAGCATATGAAGGATGACTCTACATGCAGAGTTCGAATTACAGGGGAGCTTGTGGGGGCTGAACCCCGATAAGAGATGAGAGTCCCTCCTGTAAGATATGAAAATCATAGCTGGGTGGGGAGGATCTCGGATTGGATTGCTTCTTCACTTAGGTCAGGGGTGGCCAATTATTTTTGCCCATGGGCCACATAGGCAGTTCTGGGGAGCTGCTGCGGCCAGTCAGCACCCATCTCCCACCCCGTCCCCTGCAACAGAACGGAGCACATGCCATCGCACACAGCCCCCGGGCCATCCCGGGCCTTTCTAAGCAGCCTAAGTGGCCATGGCTCCTTGCAGCTGCCACCACCACTAACCCCAGCCCTGTGCTACTGGCAGGGACCCACACACACAGCCTTGACCCTAGACAATTTTTCTTACAGACCCCCCCGAAGAGTAAAAGTGTAATTAAAACCCTGCCGACATGTCAGGCAGCAAATCCTGCTAGGATCTAGGGGTATGCATACTTTAAGTCCTCCAAGGAAGAGACCTAGCTCAGTTCTCTGACATGCAGAATTAGGATACAGAGAGCTCTCCACTTCCCTCTAAGCTCTCCACCCGGCTGGGGCTATCTGCACCCCACAGGTTCTGCAGCATGTTATGCCAGAACTGAATCAAACCAAGCTACCTCATTCAACTAACCTGAAAATGTCGACTAGATCACAAATTCATAAAAATATCTCATCTTTCTACAAAGACAACCTGAAAGTTAAGTTTGTATCTAACTGATGACTACATAATTTTCCTTTCACAACAATAGCGAATGGTCATGTACCCTGCTAACAGAAAAGGTACAAATAACATTACTCAGACAATCCAGACACAATTTTAACTATCTATTTTAACGGTGTGGTTAAGCATTTAACCACATCTCTAGAATGGACTCAAATTCTATTAAGTCGTCAAAGCCGCATATCTGAAGTGATTTCGTTCTACCTTCAAATTGTCCCTCAGGGAAGAAGATAACAAATGGAGGCTTTGAGAGTGGTATGGTTCATGTCTACATCTATCATAACCCTCATCTTTACAACTTTAATGAGATAAGTCAAAATGTTCCCATCAGAAAAGTTAAAATTATAACAGATAGGCCTAGATAAACAACAGTGAGTAGATTCCATGTACAGAGAGTCTATATCCCAACAGGCCTTGTTAAGTATAAGGTTTAGTTATTGTATGGGAATTGTCATACTCCTTGACATCTCCATAAATCTCACTAAAAGGAAGATAAGAAAAATGCATTTGAAAAAGAACTGAGCAACACAGCTAATGTCTGGTGACCACAATGCAACTTTGGCCACTAGCCAATAACCTAAGACAGTATAGTAACATGATACAGAAAAATGTACATAGCTAACTACATAAGCAAAGCCATTTAAGGCACTTGGTCATTTACAATTAATAACAGGAGCGTTTATTATCAGTACCTTGGTTGAGTTCCTAGGCCCTACAAATGAATAATAGTAATAACATGGAGATTCTGCCCCCCTCCCCCTCCCCAAAAAAATCTGTGGTGGCAATGAGACAAAGAGATAAAAAAAAGAAGAGAAAACATAAACAACACTGAATAAAAACTGTATGTACACCTTCTGTTTCAACTCTGCCACCTTTTTCTTCCATTTCTCTCTTCATATTGTCAACAAAGCTAGCTTCAATATCAAGTTAGGAAACAAACTTCCTGAGCACAAACCTGAATTATGGTATTGTGGATGTTAAAAAACAAAAAGGCCCAAAAGCCTGGTTGAAATTTTTCAAAGCGGTTTACAGAATATGAATTAATGGAAGATACAGATCTAACTACCACAGGCTGCTTTTAACATTCTCAGCCTCAGCAATAAAATTTCTTCCCATGCCAATTAGTAAGGGGCACATAAACCAGACGTGCAGAAAGGAAAACTAAGCTTTCACTGCACTATGGGTTACTAATCACTCCCTATATTAAATGACTGGAGTCCAAATGAAGGAAAATCCACCGGGTATATAAGAGTTTACTCCTCTCCTCAGTA